GAGAGGCCCGTGTACCGCAAAAAAAAAATGCATTCCTTTAATATAAGCCTGTGGGAGAAAACCTGAGGAGCCCCATGTCAGAGGCAGTCTGATGTAGAGGAAAGAAATTTTCCATACATTGTTTACCCCACATCCTTTCCACTGCCTCTGCCACTTTCCTAGCAGGAGTATGAAAGAACTATGGCAGGAAAGTCAGGTTTGTGGATTTCAGGCCCAGATGTTCCATTACAGTTGATGAAGAGCTCTATTGAAGTGTGTAGGAAACATGAAATCAAGACAATAATGATATTTGAAAGGCGCCTGCTTTTTTCTTGACCACACTTTCTCCTGTCCAGCCCCTAATAAATTGTATGAACTTGTACAGGGCAGATGCTGTCTTAAATTCCTCATCGGGGTGGAAGAAGCAATGAGCCTCAAGCTTCCTCCTAGTCCTAAAATTCTATGATCCATCCAAGGTTCACGCTTTCATCCTAGTACCGTGACTCAGGGACCAAGCCAGGACCAGTAGACTCTAAGATTAGCTGAATTCTAGGAGCTTGTAATCAAGTTGGGAAACAAGACAGATGCTCAGTCATTTGGCAGATGTTGACTGAACAATAATAGTGGTGTGTGGGTCTGCATGCACCTTGGTACTTGATGCTGGGTGGGGATGCGGTGGTCTATAGGAGCTCTTTCCGCCTGGATTTTATGGTTTAGTGGGAAAGAAACTTACCGGAATATAAGAATCATAATAAAATCTGATGAGTATAATGATAAGGCAGAATGTCCCAAACAGGCTTAACTGGGAGGAAAAAATTCCCATAAGGTGCTTGTTAAAGGTATGGATTCCTGGGCCTGACCCAAACCCTAACAATCAAAACCTTCTCAAAGGTGCCCCTTAAGTGTTTTCAACTCTCAATCTTCATTAGGCAAGTTTGGAAAACATGGTGATCAAAAATGAGCGGGACACTGTGGGAACTCACAAATACATGAAACAATCAGTATTAGGGTAGTCTGACACCGTGTATAACGGTGGTTACGTGTATAACGTAGGGTAGTCTGACACCGTGTATAACGGTGGTTACATGTATGGGCTCTGGAGTCACACTACTAAGGCTCATATCTCAGCATCACCACCAAGAATGGAAATAACAGTAATTAGGATTGTTGTGAGGATTAAGTGAGCTAGTTTTTATAATATTAATATATAGAGAGTAGCACTGTTATAGAACCAGATGGCAAATCATGAATCATAAGAGGTTCACTATATAGTTCATAAAGCTTCCCTGTTCTCCTAACTGGGAGAATGTAGTAAGTGTAATAAGTAATTGCCAAAAAAAACCTAGTTCTGTTTCTTTTGTAAAAAGGAAAATAGGGAAAGGGAGGATGGATAAGGGAAAATCCAGACCACACTGTAATCAAAAGGGAAGTCTTTCATGTAAGAGATGGTACTATATTGATTCTAAGGGGTAGACATGATTTAAAAAGAGAGACAGAGAGAATGAAAAGACGAGCACAAAGAAAACCAAAGACACAGGGCTGCTTATAGTTTGTATGAATGTGAGACCTGTAGCACAGCCCTAGTTCTGTCACTAATTAGCTATGAACTTTTGGGTAAGTTAATTATCATGGACCTAAATTTATTTCCTTGTGTGAACGGAGTTTTGTGAATTATATTACAGATAGTTTTACAGCCTATATTTCGGTCATCTTCATAGTTCTCTCTAGTTAAAAAAATTTGGAGGGGAACTGCAATATATACTGCGTCCACTAGATGGCAATAGATAGCTTTGTAAATGGAGGTCTTTCACAGAAACTGAAGGTGTCTAATAAGCAAGCAAGAGTGTATTTAAGGTTCTTGAGAAACAGAGAGATGACACTAATTCCTCATACTGAGGTCCTTATTGAGATTTATAAGATAAATAGAAATCATATGTTTTTAATCCCTTTGTTTTAGACCCACAGGTATTCAAGGGTCATGTTAGGACATTCTGATTTAAACCTTTACTGCTAAAATGGGTTATTTCATAACAACGAAGCAAACAAAGAATTGCTTGCATGAGGTCCAATTCTGCCCTGAGCCAGTAAAACCCCCCAAAGATCCTTACTCTTAGTCAAAAGTACCAAGTCAATCATTCTTAAACTTTTTCATCATAAAGAGCCTACATATCCCACCACTAAAAAAGAAAAGGAAAAAAGATCTATTTCCTCTTCAGCACGATACACTTTTTCAAATGGTGTCACCATTATCATTTTTTATAGTAAGAGTAAACTATCCTTATCTTTAAAGTTACGACAGTTCAAAAAATTGTATCAAAGAAGATGAAAATCATCTTCAAGCAATAACAATGTTATTAAACTATTTTGGGTAGATAGAAAAGAAATAGCAATGCATTCTTTTATCTTTTTTGAATTAAAAATATTTTTAAATCTTCCCATGTTAGTAAATATATTAATGATCACTAGCATTTAATATTTCACAGCTAAATATTTACAAATTGTATTCAATATACTTTAACCAAAATGTCTGGCCTCTGCGACAACACTTTCCTTCACAAATTGACAGAAACGGCCCCATTTAAAGATGAGTAATGATTAGACAGGGACCTATGCAGAGAAAATGAGGAAGACAACAGAACGTACAGAACCTAACAAATGAGCTGATGAAAAATACATAGCAGAAAAATTTTTCCAGGAAGCAGATTAGTTCAACAAACACTTAGCCAATGACTTGAAAACAGTGAAGGAATATATGACCTCTTTGAAACAATATCTCAAGGAAGGAAGCAAAAGGAACACATTTGAAAACTACATGAGTGACATAGAGGAAGGCTAGAAATAGAAAATAAAAATAATGCAAAGACCAAAACTGACAGTGAGTTGAGACAAACAGCAGATATGGAAGGGAAATACTTTGAAGTTTTTAAGATACTCTGAGATCATAATAAATGGAACAGATATAGATAGATGGTCATGTAAGTATTAGAAGGAAACAGCTGAAAATAAGGGAAAAGCTGAATCTTCAAATACAAAATGCACAACACGATTCATGAAAAACTGACACAAAACTATTAACAATAAGATATATCTTTATGAAATTACTCAACTCAAAGATAACCAAATACAAAAGAGGTACTTCTAAAATAAAATATCTCTGAAAGGCTAAAAGTAAAAAGGATGCACCGGACAAATGAAAATAAAACAATGAGCATCTCATTTATCAGTCAAGAATGATACGAAAGCAAAATAAAATGAAAATGACACTAAAGAAAGAACTTAAGTTAAAGGGTAAATTTTAATGAAGAAATATTATGAATCAAATAATGTGGTATAAAAAAATCATAAAGCAAAATTTGTTTCCCAAAACCCCAGGAAAGACAGAAATACAATAATAGTAGAAGAATTTAAGTTACCTCTCTCAAACCAACACAGTTCAGCTACTCAAAAAATAAGGATAAAGATGATCTAAATAAAATTATTAATTAGCAGGCCCTTAAACATCTTAGGACTCAGTCTATGCCATGGTATTATATTTTATATGTCATTCAATACAAATATTGAGAAATACCTTCAAAATGCAACATTGAAGGGTCTCCACATACAAAACTATGTAGCTTTTAAAAATTGGAATATGTAATTTACAGTACCACTGAATATACTAACCAATAACTGTTTTAGTTAAGTTACAGTATGTTATTTAACACTCTCAAAATCAATCCAATTATTACAGAATCCGAGGCAATAAATTATCCTACTTTAAAGTGACTTTGGCAACACACTAGAGGTAGACTCATGAAAGAGATCTTTGAAATTCGTTTTTTACTTTGCCTATAGCTATCTAATAAACATTCCAATCCTTTGTATATGTCTCAGACTGTACAACAAAAGAAGCTATATATTGCTACTGCATGGTAGAACTGATAGTCAAACTGCTTTCAAGATGTAATATGCAGCTACATTCTTCCTCAGAGAACAATCTCTATTACAGTTCTAAATCTAGGATCTATAAATGATATTCATTACCAGTTTTCTTTCTAACAGTGGCATAAGGCTATTTCTCAATCAAATCCAATATCACCTTCAGTCATGCCACCAAGTCAAAAGCTACAGGCATGTCACATCCCCAAAGCCTTGCCACCATCACCAGACTCTGCTTTGTTATAACTCATGGACTTCAAAGCAAGATGAGGTATCCTCCAGAAATCAATGACTTTGATGTGTCAGGGTCAGTCAGACATGATTAAAGGGAGGAGAATAATCAGTTAAACCTGGCATAGGTAGATACAAAGCAGAGCTATAGAAAAGCTTTTCTTAAGAATCCAGGTAACAGGGAAATCTATAGAGACAAAATAGATTACTGTTTGCTTAGAGTTGGAGGCAGAGATGGGGGATGGAGGGACGGAGGTGAGAGCTTTAGGATATGGGGTGTCTTTCTGAGGTGATGAAAATATTCCAAAATTGAGTGTGGGAATGGTTGCAGTATGTCGTTGGATATACTAAATACCATGGAAATATACACTTCAAATGGATGAGTTATATGGTATGTGAATTAGTCTCAAAGCTGTTTTTTTAAAAAGGAGGTGGGAGAAGCCAGGTGAAAGGTGAGTCAACAAATCACAATCAGGGAAGAACAGGAGACTCACACTCAAGAACGATCCAAGGTGAGGTTTACCAGGCTTGTCACATAATCAATGCTTATATCATAAAAACCTTCTTTTTTCCAGAATGGCCACAAAGAGACTGTTCTTCTTTTGGGCCAAACTACTACAACTCCATCAAAAATACTTACTTCTTAAAGGCAAGGAAAAAAAGAGAAATATTCCATTTTTAACTGGGTTTTTAAAACTCTGGATTTCAATTTGACCTAGACTAATATAATGAACCAGACCATAGTGTCAGTTTTTAAAACATGCAAATCAGTAGAATCCCTAATATACCCTTTGCTAAGTCAGTTAAACTGAATTCACGCTCTCTCAAAGGAAGCCCATTCCCTAAGGTAAACAGTGCAGGCTGAGACTCACAGTTGACGATGTCACCTTGAAGCTGCAGAATCTGGGGAGCTGGCATCGTGAGGACAGCAATATCAAACTGCTCAGGGGAGCCTGTTTCCCTGAGGACTTCCCACTTGTCATTTCTCAGGTTGATCTGGGTCACACATTGTCTGAAGTAGACATCAGCACCTGTTCCAAAAGCAAAATCATATTCACATAATCAGGATTTTCCATACGAATGAGAGGGAAGAGAAGAGTCACAAACTGGATCCACTCAGATGAGTAAAATGGAAAAGTTCTTCTTGTACAGCCCCTGGGCTTCACTTTCTTTACTTTCTGTCTCGTTTAATGGGAATCCCTCCCTTCTGGCACCCTTGGACCTCCCTAACAATGCCTGCTCTGGGGAAAAAATAATAATACTACTACAATTAATAATAATAGAAACCATAGATATCTTTCATTAATCATCTACTGTATGTCAAGACTATGCCAAACACTTGATATACATTATACCAATTCATTTCCCAGATAAGGAAACAGATTTAGAAATGTCACGCCATGATTTAAATCCACATCCACCTGACTCTAAAGTTCATTATCTTTGTAGAGCAAGTATACATCTTAGTAAAGCTGTAAAGAATCCTCTCTAGTAATACCAAGAAAGAGCAATATTACCTATTAAAAGTATCAATATTCCCTATTAAAAGTATCAATATTCCCTATTAAACCTGAAAAAAAAACTCTGAAGAGAAATCCAAGTCTCATCGATGGATCAACTACCTTTATGACAAAGAATCAAAATGAAGAGAAATACAATCTGGAATATCCTCTCATAGCATTTCCCTTATTTGGATTTATCACAAAGATATTTTAATAATTATTTGAGTAGTTATATGATTAATATTTTCTTCCCTTTTAATTTGTAAGCTCCACAAGCCACAAATTATGCCTGCCTTTTCTATATATAGCATATAGCATATAAAGTATTGTACTTGGCATGTACTAGGTATTTAATCAATATTTGTTTAAGAGAATGAATTATGAACCATAAACTGAAAGATAGGAAAATATAATTGGATCATTAAGTCTCCTTGGTATACTAGTACTTACCTCACATTCCAGTTGTGAGAAAAATTTTATGTTAAAGCAAATCTACTTTTATTTGGCCTCGTGAATAGAAAAGAAGTAAATAAAAATGGAATAAGGGGGAAAAAGCACAATGAAAGATCCTGTCCATCACTGCATGGGACACCTCGTGCTCCTAGCCACTAAACATCCAGCTTAAATCCAACCTTTGCCATGAAGCTTCCCATCCGCGGCTACTCCAGCTCAATGTGATCCTTCTCGTCTGGACAATCACTGCCTTTACCACTCTTTCTGACATTGATCCAAAGTATCTCTATGCTTTAGGTGTGTCTTATCTATCCCAAAATACTCTCTCGGGCTCCTCCATGTCAAGTCTCCAGATCTCATATACCTTTACATCTTTCACATTCCCTTGAATAACTCTACAACATAGTAATTACAACTTTTTAAAATCAAATGCAAATATGGTAGAAGGAACGAGGCCCAGGGGTCAATCTCTTTGAGGCAATTAGCATCATTCTGCTCAAAGATTAGAGCAAGGGCTTCTAAATAGTGCTTCAACTTGCCTGAGGGTTTCTCTAAGGCCCCTCCTCTGGGAAGGCACAAATAACTGGAGCTTTCAACTCACACCCACCATCCCCTTTACTCCAACCAGAATGGCTCCACTTCCCTCTGTTCTATTGATTTAGGATGTCTCACCGCTCACTTACCTCACTCTAGTCCTGGCCCTGACTGGGACCTCAACTAAGTCAACTGATTATATGTTTCATTCAGTTGTGTTTTCACATAATATTCCCTTTGAAAACAGCATTACATTGGGTTTGTTTTTGGTGGTGAGTAGGTGTGTGTGTTTAACAGAATTGAAGTCCACTAACTAGAAATTCTCCATATCCAGTCAAACGTCTTGGACATATATCCCAGGGGTCCCAAAGTGTTCTGCAAGATGTATATCAGTCAGCACCAGCAGCACCTTGGAACTTGTCAGAAATGCAAATTCTCAGGTCCCAACCCAGACCTACCGAATCAGAATCTGGGGATCAGGCCCAGTAGCCTGCATTTAACAAGCCTCCAGGTTTGTTACCATGTACTTTAAAGTGTGAGACCACTGGGGTAGATAGATAGACCCAAATCCAACACCACCACTGGCAAAGTCACTCAAAAAATAGCATTTTCCAAGAGTTAGGGGCAATGGTATAGCTGCTCTGACTAACCAGGAAGTTTTCCTGTCCAATTGCTAGGAGTCAGTTTCAGGGAAAGTGGCATTTCCTTGTGAAAGTTAACTAATAACTTTTGAAAGGACCACATGACCAAATCTATAGGCTATGGAAAATCATTTTTAAACACTTAGAGAACTAGATAATATCTCTCAATCTGAGCTTAGTAAATTTGACCATGTCCCTCTCTTGCATAAAATCCTTCAGTGGTTTCCCACTGCATTTAGGATAAAGTATAAAATCTTAACATTGCTTACAAAGCCCCTTATGATCCGGCTCCTGCTTCACTCTTAAACTTCACCTCTTACTGTTTTCTCCCTCATTCACTACGCTCCAGTCATGATGACCTTTTCATTCCATAACCGCACCATCTTCCTCCTACTTTAGAACAGTTGCAACTTGATATGCCCACTCTTGCTCACCTTTCAGGTACCCATGGAAACATTAGCTCCTCAGAGATGCTTTCCCTGACACATTTCCCATACCTCACTCCTCTCAAACTCACATTAGTTTAGGTCCTATTATTATAGCTCTCTCACAAGGCTCTCACTCTTTCTTCTTAGCATTTATTATGTACCCTTTTTATGTGTGTGAAATTAGTTTTTGTCTTTTCCCCCCACTACACTATATTAACAAAGGCAAGGTCCATGTGTTTTATTTACCGCTATTTCCCCAGGACATATTTCATAAAAATAAAAAAGTCTGCAGATAACTACAAAGATATCAGAACACAAAGAAGTTTTAGCCATTTTACAAAGGCAAATATGTTTCTGTTATTTATTTATTCAATGTGTATCTCCTGCCTTCTTCCATTTTAGAGAGAGAATCTAAATTCATTTTCCTCCAATAATTTCCTACAAAAGGTTTCAGTTCAGAACTGCTGAGATGGACCTGAAGAGATGTAAGCAATGTCTAACTAAATGCACTGCTTAAACTGCAGAGTGCTTAACCAAGGCTCCTGGGCTATCTTCTACCTTCTCTCTGACAGACACTGTTATGAGAATTAGAAATGATGTATGTTAAGAGCCTAACATAGTATCAGATAAATGGCACTTAACAAATGATAGAGTAGCTTTTGTTCTTTTGAATTTCTCCCACCCCCAACAATGACAACCAAAAAAGTAAAACAACAGAAAAAGCACATTTTACTTACTCAAGAAGATTGTATTAATTGGGAAGACAGGCAGTAGGTAAAACTGATGTCAATAAACGCAGTTTTCTCTGTAATAAGCTTAATGTGAACACATGAGACAATAAATGAGAACAGACCATAAGGTGAAGAGGCATGTGCCTATTTCCTCCTGCCCTTTACTACTTATTCTGGGAAACTGGTCTACTTAAATATTGGCTTTAGAGAGTTGAACCTATTCTAAAGCATACCTGATTAGACATACCCAATACAGATAATTTCCCTGGAAGTCTAGTCCCAAACTAAATAAAACTGGTTGGACCATCAGACTGTGGGGTTGTGAACTCAACTGATCTCAAAATGTAGAGTATTTTTTGGAATGACTTGGCAATTTGGGTTCTTATGCGCTGAGCACGTGCAAAGGTCAGCTTCATTCAAGTAGAATATTTTTTAAACTAACATTTATCAAGAGATTTCTATGTACATGGCCTATTATTTGCTTAAATTGACAATGAGTGCATTATATCCTTTATTCCTCCCAAAACTTAGTACTAGGTACTGTTATTGCTCTCATTTTTCCAATGAAAGAACCAAGGTATAGACTTTAAAACTTTCCTAATATTACATAGCTAGGAAATGGTGGTAGAATGTGAATTTGAATCCAGGTCATTTTGATTACAGGGACTCTCTCGACTTATATTGTGGAAACAACTAAAATAAGATAGAAACCATTTATAGCACAGAAAGCTTTAAAGAAGTTTAAAGAATGCTTAAATGGATATAATTATAAAATTTTAAATGGTATAGATAGGGTCTACAAAGCCTATAATAATGGATCTGGGTAGAGGGTGGAAAGACCTCTTGAAGCAGTACAAAGATAATATTTAAATAAACTAAGAAAAAGTTTATATACACTCAAAATATGTAGACCTTGAACTCAATTATATAAAAACTCATTTTAAAAAAAAGCAGAAAGTATGTCACAAAATGGACTTAGTGTTGATATCATAGTGACACTTTCCCCTGCTATTTTTCTGTATTTTCCAAATTTTCTACCAGTAGTATGTAATTCTTTTTTAAAAGTTACTTTTGAAATAAATATTTTACATAGTGATAAGAAAATCTAAAGTACTCACACTCTGAACAGACTGTACAAATTGAAAGAATAAATAGGTTTTTACTAAGAATTGGCTAAATTAGAATGAATATATGTATATTTATATATCTTAGAAATCTAAATCTATATCACTATACCTACCTACTAGGTACAAGGTACTATTAGATTCTGTTTGAGCTACAAATAATTAAATATGACCTCTTCTGCCAAGAGTTTCCAAAGCAAAATTGGAAAATAAAGCATATATTCCCCCAAACACGTAACACAAAAGGGTGTAGGTACAATGTATTCAAGGAGTGTCCCTCAGCTATATGAGGCAGGACTTTGGTTCATGTATCATTAGTGCCTAAAACAGTATATAGTAAGCACTCAGTAAATGTTTATTGAATGAATGGATGTATGCATGCATGGATGGCTAGATATATAATACAATTAGTAAGTACTTGGAAATTTTAGTAAGTATGCACATCTAATTTGGGTTAAGTAAAAATCATGATGGAAATGAGATTTTTTTTTAAAGTTGTATGGTGGCAATATATGAAGCTGATGGTGACATTCTACAAAATGTCCAAATGGTGTCACCATCTGTGATGGTTAATTTTATGTGTCAACTTGACTGAGTCATGGGGGTTCCCATATATTTGGCAAACATTATTCTGGGTATGTCTGTGAGGGTGTTTTTAGAAGAGATTAATATTTAAATTGGTAGACTGAATAAATCAGGTTGCCCTCCCTAACATAGGTGGGTATCATCCAATCAATCAAAGGCCTGAATAAAACAGAAAGGCTGACCCTCCCAGGAGTAAGACAGGCAGTAGGTAAAACTGATGTCAATAAACGCAGTTTTCTCCGTAATAAGCTTAATGTGAACACATGAGACAACAAATGAGAACAGACCTATGTTCTGTTCTGTTCTGTTCAGTTCGAAGACAATAGCCTTCGAACTGGGACATTGTTTTATTCTCCTGCCTTCAGACTTGAACTGAAACATCAGCTCTTCCTGGGTCTCAGGCTCACCAGCCTTTGGACTGGAACGGTACCTTTAGCTCTCTGGGGTCTCAGGCTTTTGGACTGAAACTAAACCATCAACTCTCCTGCGTCTCCAGCAGATCTTCAGACTTGCCAGCCTCCAAAATCACATAAGCTAATTCTATACGATAAATCTTTATCATATATATATCGTATATATATATCCTTTTGATTCTGTTTTTCTGGAAAATCCTGATGAATACACCTTCATAGACTAAATCCTAGATGGAGAAATGGCTTCACCCAGAATGGTATTTACTATGTCCTCATGTTGTATATTCAATCTCACTGGCCCCTCCCATGCCCAGTATCAAGGATTCTCAGGGTTCCCAATTAGTAATATTTGATGAAGGAGACCAAAAAAAACCAGTAATTATTCTAGAAATAGCTTATGAAACAAAACAAATACTCAGCCTTATACCTTTCCTCAGTGCTCTTCAGTTGGGCAATTATTTATGATTCATCAAGAAGCTTATTTCTGTTTTAAAAAATAAATCATTTATCATCCAAGATGATTTATCATCTTTTTCAAAAAAGTCAATTTTAAAACACTTATAAAATAAACATATTATAAAATAAACATAAAGAACAAATGAAAATCCTCATAGAAAATGGGCAAAGGTTATGAATAAGACATTCACAAGAAAAAAAAGCACAGATGTGGTTAGCAAAACAAAGATGCATAAACTCACTCATAATTAAGTAAATGCAAATCAAAACACAAGGAGATACCATTTTAACCCATCACATGGGCAAAACTTTTAAATTTCCATAATATCAGGATGTGTGGAAAGAGACGTTCTCCTTCACTATTGATGAGATATTCTTTAAGAGGAAGAGATGGCACAACCTAGTTAAATAAAAAATGCACATACCATTGACACACCTACTGTACTGCTAGGAACTGATCCTACAGATATGCTTTCAAAAGTATGTCAGGGTTAAACATTGCAGTAATATTTGTATTAGCATAAACCAAAACAACCCCTCATCCCCCCCAAACAATCCACATGCTTACCAGAAAGTTAACAGTTAACTAAATAACAATACACACATACCATGTAATACTGAACAGGCATTGAAAAGAATGAAGCACACTGAATTTGCTGATATGAAAATAGACCCACGATATGATTCACTCTATGATTATGCATCAGTCAGGAATCTCCAGAGAAATAGAACCAATAGGATATATATAGACATAGATAGAGATAGAGATTGATTTATTATAAACATAGATGAGAAAAGTATAGAATGGCTTATGTAAAATAATCTCGTTTCTGTTTTAAAAAAGAATATATACAAATATATGAATAGGTAAATAGAGACAGCCACGGAGAACAATAGATAGATGCATAAACATTTTTCTGGAAGCATATTATTGGAAACAATGATTACTTTAGGCGAAGACAACTAGCTATTGAGTGGTGAGTAGGAGAACATTTACTTTATTTTATAACTTTCTTTATAGCATTAATATTTACTTATGTGTATAACTTTTATTTTAAAATGCTAACTTTAAAAGAAGGCAGAAAAAATTCTCTTCTCACCTGATTCTTTCAAGTAATGGTTAATAATTGAAGAAACTCCGTCAGGTGCCACAAAGTTACAATCTCCTTCTTTTATCACCATTCCTTCAATAGGAGAGGTCAGAGGCTTCAAAACACCAGGAGCTAACAGTTCATCATAAAAACTGAAATAAATCAATATGTATAACATAACTATAAGCTATACTTAGCTCTAAATACTATATTCTCTTCCAAGAATTCTTAGAGATTACAATCCTAAATAATAACTAGAAATCTTCTATGAACAACTCAACATATGTTTTATGTTAATAAAAACTATAATTCAGGTGAAGAATGGAAATGTTTTGAGAATCCATAGTCTTTTGCTAATCTTAGTCAAAGGTCTGTTTTCTCATATATTTCAAAATTAAAGACAGTGAAAATAAAAAGAAAGATATTCAATACACCAGGTTTAAATCTGGTTAAGATTGACTTCATCACAGCTATCTGTCCTCTTCCTCAGCACCAACATATGAACTCTTATTTATTGAGCCCTTACTATGTTCCATGCAACATCTCATCTGATGGTCACAACAATTGGATGAGGTATGTATTACAATCTCCCCGCTTTACTCAGGTTAACCTTTTACTGCTAATATGATCAATGATGATAATATAATTTCACTATATTACAAGGGTCAAAGTTTAACCCTGCTAAAAATGGATGATTTGTATCTTTTTACATCCTCCAACCAGTAAGACTGATTCCACCCCTTTCAACTGACTCACCTCTGGTGTTTTTTGGCGTAATGAGGAGTGCAGGTGATGTACTGGGCACCCAAGTCCACTGTGCTCTGTGGATTATGAGGACTGCTGGCTGTGGTCATTCTTCCCCCTGGAATTAGTCCCCAGGAAAATGTCTTAGTGCATTAGAATGAACCTTTTGCAGTTGACGCTATTCACCCCAGGTTACCACAAATAGATTACTTAGAACTGTTTCAGGACACATTTTAAATTTTTTTAAAAAATTTTTTACTTTCATAATAATTAATATATTTTTAAATATTCTGTTTTCTCCAGATTACAGACATCTAGAAAACGTTTTTTTATACTGAAGATTTTTGTCATCTAACATTGTCAGGAAGTAATTAAGAGACAATTTGGTCACTGAGTGTGAGATACTTTTTTAAAAGAACACATGAATGCGCCACCCTTCAGCACTGTGACTGAGGCATCTATTTACCTGAGTAAAAGGAATGAACGAACGGACAAAAGAAAACAAAATAATGAATGAAACGTCAGCATGAACGAATCAACGAATGCTTTCCCTCCTGCAGTCAGATTTCAGGAGATGGACAGGATGCTGTCAACTAAATCTTCGTAAAGTCTTGGTCAATGACCACTTGAGGAGTCTCACAATCTAGAGATAAGCCTCCAAGGCACAGAGCGGCCAAGAAAAAAATCCATTTCTTAGCGACAGCGGCAGGCCCAGGATTTGCAAACTCCAGTCAGGATCCCTCCCAGGCCGCTCAGGCCGCCCTCTGAAGCGCTCTCGGCACTCCCGCCCCACCCCCCAGCCCAGCCGGGGTCGCCGCTTCCACCCGCGCGCCCTCTCAGGCCTTACGGGCGCCGGAAGTCTCCGATCACGTGACCAGACGCCCGCCGAGCTGCTGGATTTTTTTCACAGACTTACCCCGAGAGGGCCCACGCCACCTCAGAAGCAATGGTCCCCGCAGGCTTCTTTTCCCCCCCGTTTCGGCCGGGAGACGACCCACCTGAGTCCTCGGCCTTGTCCCACACAGCAAGGTGCAAAGGACGGGTCGCCGCCTTCCTCAGCAGCGCTGCGCACAGGCTTCCCGTCAGCCCGGCGCCCACGATCAGCACCCGCGCCATGGCCCGCTGTCTCCGCGGCGGGGTGGCCAGCCTGCAGTAGGTGGAACAGCCAAAGCTCAGCGGGTTAGAGATGTCGGCTCCGCGCTCCGGGCCCCACCCGGTCCTTGAGCAGTTCCTCGGCTGGCCTGCAGGGGACGGAGAGGAGGCGACCGGGGCTGAGGGGATGATAATTGCTGAAGACCAGCAAACCTTGGCTTTCCCCTTGGTTTGAGGGCCAGCAGCTGGCTTCCAAGACAGGCTGGCCCCATCCGATAAGCTGTGAATTCCAGCCTGCCCCTCGCCCCCTGTAAACCTGTAAATCATGTAGGTTAGAGTGTGAGACCCCGCCTCGCCACAGGGCTGGTGTTGACTACTGCGGAGACCCAGCCCAAGGTAACTTACTAGGGTAGCTATGCCTTGCTGGAACCTTCGCTAGCTTAGTATTCTAAGTCCGAACGGAACTTACCAGCGATGCCAGAGCCAGCTTTTTTCAATAGACCTTAATGGCCACTATTCACATAATAGGAAAAGAGTTTGGGAGAGATTTTCTTAAACTAGCCCTCGGGCTTTGTGTAAGGGATATAACATTTTTGAACCTCAATTTCGCCATCTGTGAAAGGAGGCCAAAAAATTCTACATTCCAAATTGTTGAAAATTAAAGATACTTGGTTCACCAGAAAATTTTACATCACTCATCTCTTCAGTAGATATTAAGTTTTATGTCAAAACACATTCCAAATGCTATAAAGGGACATGAAGATGAGCAAGACAAGGATCCATGCCATTACCACTAGTCTTTGTTTTTTCTAACGTTGCCCTGGAGGTTCTCAAGGAAACGATAAAAAGCAAGGATAAGACTGAACTATTAAAAAATTAAAAAAACTAAGTTACCCTGAATTGCAGATAAACTATTACCTGGAAACCAGAGAAACTTGAATAGCTATCAGAATTATAAGAAAGTTGACAGTGGTAGCCAATTACAACGGAAACATTAAAAATTAGAAGTTTTACTTTATGTACACATCATGAAGCAATTACCAGGCAACAAGTTGGTGATAGATTAATATTACATATATCTAATAAAAGATAATAGAACTAGAAGATACAGATGAACATATGTAACCTAACAAGACATTCCTAAGCATAAAAATAAAACTGAACATAAAAATGGAACTGAAGAGAAAAACATCGAATACATAATCATTTACAAATTATGTTCAAAATATACAAGACAAAATACAAATAGTAAACAAATTTTTGGAGCATATGAAAGATGAAAGTTTCACACCTTATAGAAAATCTTTAGATAATTTTTTATTGAAGTATAATTGATTAACAATATTAGTTTCAGATGTACAACATAATGATTCAATATTTTTATAGATTATATCCCATTTAAAGTTATTTCAAAATAATGGCTATATTTCCCTGTGCTGTATATTCTTGTTGCTTTTATATTTTGTACACAGTAATTTGTATCCCTTAATCCACTACCCTTATCTTGCCACTCCCCCTTTCCTCTCCCCACTGGTAACCACTAGTTTTTCCCTATATTTGTGATACTGTTTCTGTTTTTTATACTCATTAGTTTGTTTTATTTTTTAGATTCCACATGTAACTGATAACAGAGAGTATTTGTCTTTCTGTGTCTGACTTATTTCACTAAGCCTAATATGCTCTAGGTTTCATGGAAGACAATTTTCCCACAGATGGGGCGGTGGGTGAGGGAGGGAATGGTTCAGGTGGTAATGTAAGCAATGGGGAGCAATAGGGAGTGGCAGATGTAGCTTCACTCACTCGCCACTCACCTCCTGCTGTGTGGCCCAGTTCCTAACAGGCCCTGGACCAGTACCAGTCCACAGCCTGGGGGTTGGGGGCCCCTGCTCTAGGTTCATCCAGATTGCTTCAAATGGCAGAGTTTCATTTCTGGTTTGTTTTTTTTTTTTTTTTTGCGGTACGCGGGCCTCTCATTGTTGTGGCCACTCCCGTTGCGGAGCACAGGCTCCGGACGCGCAGGCTCAGCGGCCATGGCTCACGGGACCAGCCGCTCCGCGGCATGTGGGGTTTTCCCGGACCGGGGCACGAACCCGTGTCCCCTGCATTGGCAGGCAGACTCTCAACCACTGCGCCACCAGGGAAGCCCTACCACACTTTCTTGATTACAGTAACTTTATAGTAACTTGATTAAATCTTGAAGTCAGGGAAAAGTCCTCCAACTTATTCTTTCTTAAAATTTTTGAATAGTCTAGGTTCTTCGTCCTTCATATAAATTTTAGTATTAGCTTGTCAACTTCTACCAAAAAGTCTGCTGAAATGTTTACTGTGACAATATTCAACATATGGAAAAATTTGAGGAAAATTGACTTCGTAAAATACTGAGGTAATGTCAGGATCAAGGTGGTGAAAGATATGCCTCCTTTTTGTCCTCCTTTTTAACAGCTAACAAATGGCACCCACCCACAAACAAAATACTCCTTTGGGAGTTGTGAAATCCAGCACAAGGGACCCAGGGACCCAGGAGAAGTCCCACCCACTGTTCATCTGGTAATAGACAGACATACCTCCATATGGACTGCAGAACTAGCAGAAGCCAGCAAACCTTCCACAGTCTCTCTAAGCCCAGGTTGGGAAAACCTGGGAATGCTGTCTTGGGCAGATACCCACAGATGAGAAAGACTTTGTAAAAGTCCAGCCATCTGGAAGGGAGAGTCCAGCACACCACTGGAGAAAAACAAAAACCAAAAAAAACCCCAGCACCTAGAGTCTGTCATACAGAGTGAAGTAAGTCAGAAAGAGAAAAACAAATACCGTATGCTAACACATATATATGGAATCTAAAACAAACAAACAAAAAAGGTTCTGAAGAACCTAGGGGCAGGACAGGAATAAAGACATGGATGTAGAGAATGGACTTGAGGACACAGGGAGGGGGAAGGGTAAGCTGGGATGAAGTGAGAGAGTGCCATGGACTTATATACACTACAAAATGTAAAACAGATAGCTAGTGGGAAGCAGCCACATAGCACAGGGAGATCAGCTCAGTGCTTTGTGACCGCCTGGAGGGGTGGGATACGGAGGGTGGGAGGGACACACAAGAGGGAGGAGATATGGGGATATATGTATATGTATAGCTGATTCACTTTGTTGTGAAGCAGAAACTAACACACTATTGTAAAGCAATTATACTCCATAAAGATGTTAAAAAAAAAGTGCGAGTACTAATAAAATATTTTATTCATCTCATGGATGCTTTCCATGCCATGGTGATTTTGATATTTTTGACAAGAAGAGAGCTCTTTGAAACATAAACATACGTCTTACTAGCAATGAAACAATCTTGAAATATTTGGGCAGGAATGAACTGAGTTGTATGATATGCTTTTTTGGTTGGGGATAGGAGGAGTGATACGGTGTCTGGAGAAAGGACTGTAAAGATGCTTGTCATACTTTCTGGCCAAGAAGCCAAATGAGAACTTTTTCAGTTAGTCCTCTTGGCTGGACTGGACTGGACCAGGACTTCTCCTGTCCCACCTTCTATATGAACCAGGACCTGTTTTGAAGAAACTGAATATATTAGTATTCTCTCGTATGGAAAAGAGGAAAAAATTTTAAGAATCATTTTTTATTATGGATAATGCTTGCCTTAGGACCAGTAGTTCCAGAGAGAAGTTTGCCAGTTGGTAATTAATATAAAGTGTCAAAAGCCAAAAAGATATGTTTTATTGACTGCCAGGGTTGCATTCATTTTCAGTCATAAATTGATCTAAAAGAATCTGAGTCATTAACATATGATGCTGTAGGATTGAGTCATTACTCATGTGTTCAAAGCCCAAGATTAATCTGACTTACCAAAATACTTTTGTCTCTTTCATTTATCTGTTGCAGAGAGCTGTCCAGTAAGGTAGATGTCTAACAGCCACATGTAGCTATTTAAATTTAAATCGAAATTAATTAAATTAAATTAAATGTTCAGTTTCTCAGTCTCACTAGCTGCATTTCAAGTACTCAATAGCCATATGTGGCTACTGGGTACCATATTGGAAAGCACAGATAGATAACATTTCCTTGTTGCAGAAAGTTCTATTGAAGAGCTCTGGAAAAGGAAGAGAGCAAAACATGAGAACTGTAAACAGTAGAGTTATCAAGGTTTAGAACATTCCGCAAAAAAAATCCCACAAAAGAAGCAGAAAAAGAATAGATGGTTTATAATATCAGTTGGAAAGGACTGGAAAATACTGCCAGAAAAATTCAAGTTGTTTGTCATTGCCACTGACTCAGGTGTTGAAAGCCTTTCCAAAATGATAGAGTCTTAATTTTTATAGATCCTCACAGGAAATATGCAAATACCCTCAAAGAAGCTGCATTGTGTGATGCAACTTAATACTGATTGTGAAAGTATCTATCCTACATTATATATTCAATATATAGTAATTGGTAGAATTGTGAAGATATTCTGAAGGCACTAACCATAATATAGGGCTTCTGAGAATTAAGGGGACTTGTTTTTAGTGTTCTTCTCAAACTAGAATTCTGTCTAGATCTAGAAGTTCCCTTCCAGTGCAGCTTCATATAGAATTTGCCAACAACTGAAGCAAGAATGTTTGAAGTTAAAACTTGTTTGTGTAACATTTTTATTGATTTATAAAATAGAAAATAGGAATAGAGCAATATTTATTATAGATATACTACAGATGGAAACTGTCTACATAAAATTTAATTGTTCTTTTTCTGGTTCCTTTAAGTGTAAGGTTATGTTATTTATTTGAGATTTTTTTGTTGGTTTTATGAAGAAGGGCCTGCATCACTATTAAATTCCCTCTTAGAACTTCTTGTTGCAGCCCATAAATTGTGAAGTGTTGAGTTTCCATTTTCATTTGTCTTGGGGTATTTTCTTATTCCCTCTTTGATTTCTTTATTGTCCCATTGTGGGTTTTTTGGGTAGCATATTTAGTCTCCATGTGTTTCTTCTTTTCCCATTTTTCTTTTTGTAATGGATTTCTAGTTTTATACCATTGTGGTAGGAAAAAATGCTGGATATAATTTCAATCCCCTTAAATTTGTTGAGGCTACAGAGAAATCAGCTGATAACCTTAC